TGCCCCTTTAGGGTTGCGCTCCATAATGTTGCTGAGGTTATACCGGTTAGAGGGCCACCCCGGCCAACTACGTGGGTTCCCGTGGTTCCTGCTTGTTTGCTGGTCGTGAGTCGTGGGTTGCTCTTGATGTATCGAGTACACCCCTGAATGCCTCCGCTCATGGTAAGTTGTTCGCTTCCACCGCACTACATAATTCTTCCGACAGCTTGAGCATTTGCACGTGCAAGGCTTGGCGGTCCGCCGCTATGCTGTCTGGTGTAGGAGGTATGGCCTGCTGAGCCAAGCGACGACGCTTCTCAGATGACGTGGCTTGACTCGACGGTGTGCGTTCAAGCATCCTGCGTGACGGTAGACTGTTATCCATAGCTTGTCGTACAAACTGTTGGCCCTGACGTTGTGCTTGTAATGACGTATCCATGTTGTCACGATGATTGTCCAGTGGCTCCCTGTCGTGAGGATTCGGGGTTGCCCTCCGTTGTTCCTGTGCAAAGCTTTGAAGTGACATCGTCTCCTGTTGTGTATCACCATCGTCCTGATCCGACGATGTATACCCTAACCCGTGACGGGCGTCGTCGGCTCCTTTAACGCGGAACTCGAGGTCCGGTGATGAAGGTGTGCTCGCTCGTCGTAGTCGTTGCAAACGCCGTTCATATTTTTCTAATAGCGATTGCTGTCGTCGAAGTAGGCTCGTCATTTGTTCTGGCGTGTCGTCGTCTCTACTTCGGCTATGTCGTCTCCCATTGGCATAATAACGAGAGCACTTACTTGCGACAGCTCTTGATGTCTCTCGAAGAGTTGTCCCCTCCTGGTAGTGAGCCTGCGACGACGAATGTGCAGCTCTCAATGGTTCGGGGGTTCGTCGTTCACGATCCGTGAAGTCCACATCACTCGGGGTGGTTATTCGCCCATTGCGCTGTTGTTGTACCGTTAGCGTCCGCTGACGTATTGTTCGGTTAGTTCGATGTTCTGTCTCTAAGTCGCCCGACAATTATCCGCCCGTGTCTACCCGTTTCTGAGTCCGTCGACGAAAACCTCGTTGATGGATGTCATCCTGTTCACGTTGTCTGGGTCCGTGAAGTCCACATCACTCGGGGTGGTTATTCGCCCATTGCGCTGTTGTTGTACCGTTAGCGTCCGCTGACGTATTGTTCGGTTAGTTCGATGTTCTGTCTCTAAGTCGCCCGACAATTATCCGCCCGTGTCTACTCGTTCCTGAGTCCGTCGACGAAAACCTCGTTGATGGATGTCATCCTGTTCACGTTGTTATGGGGATAGCTGTTGTTACAGACGACTCTGTCGAATGTTAACCATGGTAAAAGTAATCTTTTGTTGTCCATTGATAGCAATGTGATGCTTCAACTGCTTCTCCTTTGACTTAAATAGTCATTCACCTACGATCCTCACCCATACTAATTACTTGAAGCCCTTGGTGCAATGTCATCGTTTTCTCATAAACCTCTTGATCCAAACTACCCCGACTATCGTTGCTGTTACTCTTTACTCCTCCGACCAACTCCGTCCTCTCGAACCTCATGCCATTACTCGCTCCATTACTCGCTTCATTACTCGCTCTGTGGCTTCTTACTCTTCATGTTCCATCGCTCCGTACACGTGTCTTTTCGCTACCAATGTTCCTTCGTTCCTCTTTTGGCTTCGACCTAACTAGTTGGCTAGTCGTGCTTTCTATACCCGCCGTCGCTGTGTCTTGGTACTGCTCGTCATCACACGAACACTTGTCTACAGTATCTCATACGGGTTGTTCATACTCGCATTGACATTGACGAATTTGATCGGACCATTCATATGCACATTTACATTGCTCACTCACTCGTGTACCTGTTCTAGTACTGCATACGCACACCCTATTGTTCTATATACCGTTGTACCCATCCTATTGTGTTTGTACCTTTCATCTTATGTACAAGAACTTGCGATATGAATGTCGTCTGTTTGTGTGATTGACATCGCATGTACATCTTACTTTGGTGTCTACGTGCTTTTGTTGTTTCTTTGTAGTCTCATATCTTCTACTAAAGAATTATTTAGTTTACACCTGGTTACTTGAGTATCCATCCCACATCATCCTTCTCTCTCATATTTCTGTACACAGTTTCTTACGTACCTTTTGATTGCCTGTACACACGTGTACCTCGTTGCCATGGTGATGTTCAAACATATACACCTACCTCCTTTACGTGTTCTATGACCTCCTGCTACCGTCTACTGTTCTTCCATTGGTTCGAATCGACTCTCGCTCCGGTATCGGTTCCCATGACGTTGTGCGTTCCTCTTGACGCGGCATAGTTCGGAGAGTCCATGTCGATGTGAACGTTGGATTCTCATTCTCTTGTTCCAACACAACATTTTCCCTGTTACAATTCTCTATTGTATTATCCATCTTTATCGTCCTTGGGGTCTCCAGACTATTAATTTCTATGTCCTCTAGTCGTTCTACTCTCTTATTTAACATGCCTACCTGTCGATGTACATGTGTTCGTAGTCTACGGTTGTGTTGACTCACACGGCTCGCATGCCCTTCTGTTCTTACGGTTCCCTCAGTCATTTCGTACTCTGAAGCACTACTGCTGTTTGGTAGAAGTGCTGGCATGCTATCGCTTGTATCGCTAGTAATAAATACACTATTCGTGTCATTTAACAATGGTTGGTTCGCGTTGGGAACCGTCATTTCAGTTACTAATGCCTACTGATGCCTAGAACTTTCTCTCTTCTTTGTGTCATAAAATTTTTCTACTTCCACATAGGAACCTCTCAGTCCTACTATCTGCTTTTCCTATCTAGGATAAGTTCAATTAATGCACAACATCTAAGTCAGTCAAAAATGTAGTAAGTAGTCTAAGATAACTGTATCTCACCGTACTCTACTCTCCTCGTGCAAGGGGAGACGTTGTTCATTTATTGAACCAATCCTATGACTATCATTTTGTCATGTGTTTTCCGTTAATCAGTTTTGATCTGATTGGATAAACCCGGTTCAAAATGTAGTCTCTAATAAAACCCAAATATCAAATAAACCCTAATCCCAAATAAATACTATCAGGGACTTCCTGACTACACCATCCGACACCTTCAAACGTAAGGTTGAAGAATCCAAGATTCGACTTTTGACAAGAGGCTGGGATGACACATGCACCTGCAGTATGCGTCACCGAGGAACAATCCGATCCTAAAGAAGCAAAGAAGAACTCATCACTAGCGAAAGCATTCTACAAGAAGATACGTTCTGACAGAGCAACTGCATACGAAGCCGCGACAAGGCTACTCAAACAGTTGATGAGCGATTTTCCATATGTATACGACCATGTAACTCAACTAATGGACAAAGAGAACATTAGTAGAATTCACACGGCCGACCTTTCAGGCGAGATTGGACAAGACGAGTCTTCAAGTCCAAGTGATGTGGTAGTGGAATCCTCACCTCCAGATTTTGATACAGCAAGATCATCGGAGGCAGACATTCTGAAGTGGTTAAGGCAGAATCATGCGCTTAAACACATGGGTAAGGTTAGGACTGAGAAAGATTGTAAGAGGTACGGGATTGTACACCCAAAGCTTAAACAATATATATCTCAGGTGTATCACGAATACAACGACTGCGAAGTTAACCGTATCAAGCGCTATGGATATGCTCCATTGCGGAGTGTATCAGAAGACGAGCCATGGCGCCGGGTTATCATTGATTTGGTCGAGCTACCCACGTCCGAACACACGAAAGATAAGTATGTCTGCCACGTTTTTGATGTTGCTTCAAGATACAACGTGTTGTATCCTCTGAAAGATAAATCAACACAAACTGTGGCAGCGTGCATATATAAATGTTTCGCAGATTTTGGCTGGCCAGCGATTGTATGTACCGACAACGGTAGTGAGTTTACAGGCGACGTCATGACGACACTGTTACTCGTTGCGGGATCATGCCATAAAATGGGGTACCCTATAAGCCTCAGACACAAGGTGCGAATGAGGTACGACACAGAAAGATGAAGGAGTTCATGCGTGGTGCATTGCTAGACGATGCTGACATGTGGCCATACTCAATTAACTGGGTACAGACACAAATGAACGAGACACCGGATTCAGTCACTGGTACAACACCCGCTTACTATTTCAGGGGCCGTTATAGTGAATTACAAGTACCTTTCAACAAGGGTTCTCAGGAAGATCATGTGTTACCATGGCTAGAGAAGATGTGTCGCGCCAGAGACGTCGTCTTTCCTTGTTCGAGAGAGATGAAGGACATCACACTCAAGAAGAGACAAAAGCGATGGAATGATTAAAAAAAGATAGTCGAATTCGAGGTAGGCGACATAGTCAACATTATGGCTCGCAACTCCGATACAACTGTGCTTACGGCTAAATACATTGGACCATTCAAGATTTCAGTGGCCGATAACAAGAGTGGAACTTACGAAGTTAACAATGTTGACAGTTCAAGTACTCTTAATATCGGATCACATCGAATTCCGACGACAGAAATCATCCTTCGTTGCACACGTGAAGCTACTACACTTCTTATGTCTTACGAGTTTAAGAAAATTGTGGGGAAGTACAACAATGAGGACATAACTTACTACACAACGGAGTTTGCTGATGGCGCGCAATGGGATCTACCTCCATCGGCATTCGATGATCCAGATGTATTGAAGGCCTTTAATAGGAAGTTTCGTAAACGCCTACATAAGAACATGTCAGACGCAGAAGCTATCTTACCTACAAACAAACGTCCTGATGTAGTTAAGGTTTATCCACAGACATCATTCATTCCAAGTTTCAAGGACCATGGAATGTATGTACCTCCTAAAGGCACTAAAAAACGTCCCATCCACCATCGGGGACCTCAAGGACCTACACCCAAACATAATAGAGTAACCGAGTAACTTATAAAGTCTAAGTATAGTTTGTCTAAGAGAATATAATATAAGCATTGAGGCCATTATATGATCGAAACCCGTTTCTTCTTTTCGCTTGTACAATCCATGTGATCTTTTAGAGTCTATGTAAGCCAGCATTAGAATTTTCAAGCTGAGGGGGGGGGGCTGTGTAAAATGAGCGGGTTCCTATAGTATAAGCACATGTTAACGTATATCATAAACGTATTACCGTTCAAACGCTATTACGGTTATAAAACCTGGTATACGTTGAAACGCAATTGTAGATATTTGTATCTGTATAATAATCAAATGATCTAAAAATAGATCGATTGAATTGACAGAAAACAAACAAACAAATAATTTAGTTTAGTATATTTTTGGAAATAAAATTGTATACGACAGAGGCCGGAGACTCTGTTGATATTGATATGATCGTTTTTCTATAATGATATGTTTTCCATCACATTATTGGGATATAATAATTAGAGAGTCTCAGGTGATATTGACACTTGATGACACGTGTTGTATTACCGAATACTCTCAGCGCGAGATAGCCCACTGAGAAATGGGGCATGAAAATGATACCCCCTAGCCAGCCAACTAGATGTGCCCGTCTATGCCTTCAATGGGATGGAGAGCTAGGTACCATGTGATGGGGTCCTGGCATGATCATGAGAACTGATGAGACGGTTGTCTCTGGAAAAAGAATTCATGAGGTCATCTACGTCGGGTATGTATGCATTGTCACGGAGGTGCAGGAGGATAGGATGGTGGCGAGTAAAATTCATCATCAGATTCGATGGCCGAAATTGGAGGTATGAGGATAGAAGGTGGAGCCGAGTGAGTAGGACGCGGTGTAGGAGGAAGGCGAGCGGCTAGTGATACCAATATGGGAATAAGGACTGGGTGGTGGTGGGATGGTGGTTTTGTGCCAGATACAGGAGAAGGAGAGACGCGAGGCGGAGGAGACAACGGCGGCACAGGTAACGATTGTGGAGCAGAATAAGAGACCATGATGGTTGTAGTGTGGGGACGAGTATGCCATGCCTCATGAATCTCATATGTACAAGGGGTAGCAGTCTGCGTGCAACGCTTGCCATCAGGAGATCACTGGGGTTGTTCGTCAGAAAAGAACTGGAGTTTCCTAGTGTTAATGATCTGTTGAGTGTGGAATGATTGAGTAATGTACGAGTCAGGAGTACTGTTGGTCACGCGGCTGAGGAACACCCCGTAGTGACAGTAGGCGACATACTTGTCGGTCGATTTGTGGGCGGAGCCTTCAATGCGATAAGCAACAATACAGTCGTAGCGGGTCTGCCACTTGTCGAATGGAATGGCCAGCGCCAATGCCAGAGACCAGTGAAGAAGGGGTTGGCCAGAGTCAAGAAGGCGAGTACGGACTAGGACATTCAGCATGTCGTGGGCACGCTCAATTTCACTGTTGCGCTGGGGCGTATAGGGTGAAGTATTTTTGAGATGCATGTGACGAGTGAGAAGAAGACTTTTGGCTGCAGCACGTTGACATACATAATCAGAGTAGCCACAGTGGTCCCGGAATATCGATCGCGAACGTGTAACTCACAACCGCAACAAACTGGCCTATGTCATTCCACTCACCGCTGTTCCCTCTACCGCCAAGATTATATATTCGAAATATGTATTCACAAAGAAACACGACGAAAATGGCGAGCTCACCATTCATAAGACGAGAATGTTAGCCCGCGGTTGTAAGATTCGGTCTATCAAGGCGATATTATCGCTTTAGAGTAGTTAAATGCCTAGGTTAAGTCTAAGTATCGTGGAATTCGAAGTAAAAAACCGAAATGAGTCTTTTGGTAAAGTTAGGTACGCCTCGTGAAAACAGCAATACTCTCAGGGATTGTGAGGCTGAGACATTGCCTATATATAATCCTCTCAGTACTGTTTTCGCCGAAGGGATTTTATTTAGTGTTTCGTTGTCGCTCTATGAGAAACTAGAGTATATTTCGTTGGGGCGAATCCGAGAGACTCATAAAATCCTATCTTTAGAAAAAAGAAAGAAAAAAAATACTCTTGATGTCCTTGGTTATTGCATTAACCAATAATGAAAACAGCAATACTCTCAGGGATTGTGAGGCTGAGACATTGCCTATATATAATCCTCTCAGTACTGTTTTCGCCGAAGGGATTTTATTTAGTGCTTCGTTGTCGCTCTATGAGAAACTAGGGTATGTTTCGTTGGGGCGAATCCGAGAGACTCATAAAATCCTATCTTTAGAAAAAAGAAAAGAAAAGAAAAATGAAAAATACTCTTGATGTCCTTGGTTATTGCATTAACCAATAAATTGCCACTTATCAAGAAATACCGACTTAGCCTTCATCAAACTGGCACATCTGTTTGGCTGATCGGAGGTTAAACTAGGTAACGCTAATAGTCCCTAGAAACCTATATTCGGTTGAGCCATCTCGCTACCGAAGTATTCAGATATAAATAGATTTGGAAAGTAAATATAAGTCTATTAATAGAACTAGACCAAATCTTACTTTTGGTATTTTACTGGGACCTTTTAATGGCCTTGTCCAAATATCTGATATGTAAAATGGAAAAGGTATTAATTAATAAAACCGTTAAAAACCATTTAGGAAACTTAAGAGTACGTTTATAGTTTACGTATTGCTTAAGAGTACGTTTATAACATAGAGTCTAATGTGGAGGCCCTGCTATTACACAGCCCCCACCCAGCTTTGAGACCCAAGAGAGGCTAGTTGCGCACTTAAGCTGATTTTGGGCCAAAAAGCGAGTAAAAGGAAAAGGGGTCGAAACATTAAGTAGCATAACATATAGTTAATGTTTCTCAGGCGAAGAACTTAAGCGTTCTCGGTTACCCTGTGAGTTTTGGGCTTAGGTCCAGTAGGTCCGTGGTGGTCGACTGGACGTTTCTTACGTTTCAGTGTCTGAAGCACATATGAAGGATGAGCATTAAAGCTCGGGATAAATGCTGTAGGCGGGTAAGTTTTAATTTCCGTGCCTTCAGACGATGGAAACATGCTATCTTTTTCAGCTTGTGACTTATACAGGCGTTTACGCCATTTTCGAATAAAGGCTTTTAAATAGTCTTGATTATCGAAAGCATCTGAAGTCAACTCAGCGATTGTACCGTCTATAAAGCGTGTACGATAGTATGTATAGCCTCCCTTATCCGTTCTCCATATAATGTCTTTAAATTCAGAACGATCAAGAGGGGCATTAGAGTCATGTCTTCTTGCGAGGAAAATCTCAGTAGTCGGAATCCGACTAGTGCCTATATTTAAAGCACTGGGGCCGTCGGGGTTATTAACCTCGTAGGTTCCACTTTTAACGTCAGCTACAGATATTATATATGGTCCTATCCATTTAGATGTTAATACAGTAACATCGGAATTACGTTGACGGATGTTCACTCTGTCACCGACCTGATATTCTGCTATCTTCTTGGTAGTGTTCCAACGCTTTTGCCTTTTTAATAAGGCTATATTGCGTATTTCTCGCAAGCAAGGATATACAACGTTATAAATACGTTGTACCTTCTCTAACCATGGTAACTCATGGTGATCAGGTTCGTCCTTGTTAAAGGGTATTTGTAACTCACTATATCTGCCACGAAAATAGTGAGCGGGTGTAGTTCCTGTAACCGGATCAGCACACTCGTTCATCTGTGTTTGTACCCACTTAAGGTGGTACGGCCAATCATCTGCATCATCCGTTTATGGAGTACGCAAGAAGAACTTAAGTCTTCTATGGCGCGTTTCATTCGCGCCTTTTGTTTGCGGTTTATATAGCACACCTCTCTTATGGCATATGCCTGATACAAGTACTAGCGATTCTATTATGTTATCGCAGAACTCACTACCGCTATCAGTACACATTATACCTGGCCACCCGTGGTCAGCAAAGACTTGGCAACATAATTCTGCCACGGTCTGCGTACTCTTGTCCTTTAACGGATAGAGCAAGTTATACCGTGACGCCACACCAAAAAAGTGGCATACGTAACGGTCGCCTGCGTGCTCGGACGTGGGCAGGTCAACCAGATCAATGATGACCCTGCTCCATGGAACATCTCCAATCACACTCTTAAGCGGTGCGAACCCATAGCGCTTAATCTGGTTGAGATCACAGTCTGTACATGACTGATATATTCTGTCAACTAAAGTTGCCAGCTTAAGGTGCGCGATCCCATATCGCTTAGCATATTTAAGTGCGTCTACTACGTTCAGGTGCTTTAGTTTATGGTTTTGCGTCAGCCAAGCAAGGATTTTTTCATCATTCTGCTCCTCCAGAATAAAGAAAGGGTGTTGAGAATCCACTTGCGTGGTCTCTAAGTCTGTAGTGTTTCCAGACTCCTGTCCTTCTTTCGCATGAGTGTCATAAGTGCGCTCGTGTGCGTTTGATACACCTGACATATTTAATGGTCGCATTAGATGTGTATACGCTTCAGGATTATCTTTCATTGATCCCTTTAAAAATAGGGGTTGAAAGACTTCGGGCTTGGACTTTATGTTATTAAACAGAGTCCTAGCTAGAGACTGACGCTTTTTAACTGTAGTGTCATTAGTAGATTGTATTTCTTGTGCACAGATTTCAAGTGCTGAGTTGCCTCTGAACTGCTTAACGTTCAAATTAGTAGAGAGTGGAATCTCTGATTCTTTGACCTTGTTAAAGAAGGTCTCAGAAGGGGACCATTTGGTTATTCCAATGGGACCTATACGACATACTATAGTATGTCTCCAGGGCGTCTTCTGGACGGCTCAGGTACCCTGATATAGGAAAGTATCTACTTCCCTATCTAAATATATTGGCTCGCATTGTATCATGCTTATTAATTTATTGAGCCATGGATCTTTACTCCGTAATGGGCAACACAACGTGATGGTAGCTTTATGTATATGAACATAATCTAATAGCTGGGCAAATAACTGCCATGGTAGATTAGCCCACGCAAAATATTTGGAGAGGTCTATTTGAAAGGCGTCTCCCAAAGGATGAT